TTATATTTATATTTATATTTATATTTATATTTATATACTTATATAATTATATAGTTCTCTGCTTTAATAGACAGCTTAATATTTGTATGGCTGAAGTGTACAACTAGTAACCATTTCTAGTCATTTTTTCACTTTATCTTTTGACTGGTGAGAAATGCTGTAAAGTTCATATTGCGAAAAAGGATAATTTGGACAAATGAACAATTGCGCAATAGTAAATCAAAGAAGAAAAGTTTTGAGAGTTTTGAGTAACCTTTTCTTCCTCTTTTTGCCTAAAAAAACCAACTGGTGCAACTATCACGCAGTAACTGTAATATGTTGATGGTGACTACCTTTTAAACTTACAAGTTAAAAAAAACAGCGGGGAGCAAATTATTCAGATAATCAATCTCTGATTAGCAAACTATTAAGCGTCTTAAAATTACTTACCAAAATGATTTCTGTGATAAAAAAGTGTCAAAAAGTGTATTATTCTGTTTATATTTTTTCTGCTGTAGGCTAAACTTCGATGAGGAAGATTAATTGAAAAAAAAAAAAAGAAAAAAAAAAAGAACTTCAAACAAAGTGACCAAAACAAGATGTGGAAATTCAAAAGTCAGAAGCAGATCACTTTACATCGCTTAATTCATACTTTAAACAGAAAAAAAAAATTTTTTTGTGGTCATAACGAAATTTCGTTTGTTTCTAATAAAAATCCATAAAAAATCTCAGTTTTTCCTATAATTTTATTTTTTGCCTTTTCTATACCACTGAAAATTTCAGAAATTTCCAAAGATTGTCTTTACCAGTAAACTTTAACAAAATATGGCAGAAGAACTAAACCGAAATTTACCCAACCATAAAAGCCATTACAACTATAAGCTGTAGAAATTTGTTTGAAATAATCACAAATTTTACTTCATGAGCAAAAAAAAAAAAGAATTTTTTAGGAACAGATTAAAATTATATCAAAGAAATATTAGACTGAAAGATATCAGTAAGGTTTTTTTTTGTAGATGACTGAAAATGTCTAAGACCAATTAGAAAGAAGTTATCGATCAAAACGGTTTCCTACAGACTAATAAAAAATGCTTTGCAGTAGTTTATGTAACAGAAGACAATTGCGCCCGCAGAAACAGACGTACTGCAATGACAGCTCCAAAAAACAAAACTTGTTTTATATTTCGTCTGACAATTGCTAATTTTCAATAACAGCAGCTTATAGATAACCTGAAACTTGATTCAACTAGACTGAATAGCAACCAGAACAAGACCAACCTTGAAATTGACCATTATGTAAGGTAAGATCTGAATACTGATATAAGCCACCAGCGATGATACCGCCAGGTAAACGTTCACTGTCTGTGTAGGACATCTTTTTGATGCACCAGCAATACGCATTTCCTCATCAAGAATACCAGCGACGACAAGTAAAAATTTGAAGCACAAATGGATGCCAAAAAATGAAACTGCAAAAAATTTTTTTAGAAGATTTTGTAAATAGACAGATAAACAGGGCAAAGGAAAGACAGAAATATATATGTATAGTTTTAATGGCGAACAGTTGACAACACTTTGACTTCCACTGCAAAATAAATCTTATGAAAAAATTTAGGTTCTGCTCAGACAGATCAATTTTCTAAAGTAATTTTTTCTGCTTTTTGAACCCATAAATTTAAGTAGACAAAATAATTATCATAATAAATTTTTTTTCTTTTTTTGGCAATTTAATTCAATCACAACTATCAAATACCTAGCTAATACGTATAGTCAACAATAAAGAGGGAAACAGTAGGCTTTATTCCTGTTAGTTTTTCGTTGTCGTTGTTGTTATCGCCTTTTTATCCTTCTTGGAACCAATTTGCTAATAGTGTAACCAAAATAGCAATCGGCTATGTAGAATTTTTTTGCCCAAATTGTTCTCGAGCACTAATGCCGTTGCTATGGCGCAACTTTGAACCCTTATTATTCCTTTCATTGTTATTACTATTATTATTATTGTTATTAATGTCAATATTATTCTTGCTATTATCATTGTTATTATTTTGCCTATTGCTTTTCTAAATATGATTTTGAAAAAATTTTTCCTTTTTGATGATTATTTAAACAATTAATTGTATTGTTGAATTAATTATTATATCCGTTAAAAAATACATGAATTTTCAACTTTAAACCATAGTTGAACCAAAAATACACATACTACTCACATCTGCTGATGACTTTCTTCGCCATCATCCGCTATCACCTTGGCCACCGTCAATATTATCGCTTTTGCTCCCAGCATCAACAACATCAAAGCCTTGTTGGCTGATTATCATTTTTAATCCTCAGAAACAGCTAAGTGTTCAAAAAAAATGGAACGTATGTATACATAATTAAAAAAATAAACGAATAAACAACCAAGTTGTCAGGAAAGCCTCTGTTACACCAGAACAATTATCTTACACCCGAATGAACTGTGTTTCAACGACTCAGCAATATTCTTAACCAACATTTACTCCAGTGAAAATTTCGAAATACTCCTGATATTCTGCCGTATATGTACAAATTTTTAAGTTTTACAACTGTTTGTCAGGAAAAAAACCCATAGAACAAAATGGTCATTAAATTTGCTTAGAAAGCAGATTTTACACCTGTACTGCTTCAGCTACTTGATTTTGAAAATCTGTGCATAGGATAACTTTATTCTTACTGAAACTGATTAAATAAAGCTCCGCATCTGAATTTAGCGCATAATATTATTTTTTTTTTAGCAAAACTTATAGCTTCATCTGATCTCCACGTTGAATCTGACAGATTTTTAGGAGAGCAAACAATTTGAAGGACTGAGAGATAGGTCTCTGTGTGTGTATGTTTGAGCATAGAGAAGTCGCTTAAACAAGCTCCTTGGTACCGTCATTCAACCCTCGGTCTTTTCTGTAGACTGCATTTAACGAATGTTCAGGTACGTGGGACGACAAGGTTGTTTACGTTGGCATTACCCACTCAACCGATGAGGTCAGTTAAACAAACACCTAAAGCGCACAGTAAAACTTTGGCAAAAATGCTCTAAAATTATGTATAGAGTGGCATTGCTCTTCGTTTTTCTGTTAGTTTTTTTCAGAAGTTATTTAGATTATCGATTCTTACATTCAACTCCAAGAATTTCTCAGGTATTGCTGCAAAATTTTTCCCCGTTTTTGTCTATGTCTTTTTTTTAACAAACTTGATCTCATTGAGTAGAGTGGATTATAAATTTGCTAAATTGTAAAAACCTTTTTTAGCAATTGCTAAATTGCAAATTATTTTCAAATAAAAAAACTATTTTTTTCAGTTTGATATCATCTGATTTTGCATTGTTCAGCAAAGAATTGATTATTTCTGTGCAGTTACAAACTGACACAATAGAAATTGTATTAAATAAGTAAAAAAAAGGATTTATAGACGGATATCCACTGCAACATTTATGCTGTTTAATTAGATTTTCAGGATGATTATTTTGGTGAAGGTTTAACTCAGGCAGATGACGAGGAAATATACGAATTTTCAATTGATATTGATAATAAAGTAATTGATAGGTTCAAGAAAAAAATTAAGGACGATTTTTCTGATCTATCTTATCCAGTCACTGATGGTACCTTACAAGAAAAATATCTTGACATAGATTATGTCAAAAATCTATCTGTACACTTTGAAAATTTCAACTGGAAGCAGCATCAATATTTCATTAATACATTTCAACATTTTAGGTATTGTTAATCTGATTTAGTTTTTTTTTTTTGTTTTATAATTATTTGCTGAGAAGCTGGAGTTCCAATATGTAACCTGTTGCAACGATACACTTTTATCAGCCAAAATCTTCTCCAATAAACCATTGAAAGTGTATAAACTGCCAAGCATTCATCTAAAATATCACTTGTCAAAATATTTCTTCACCAGAAAAAAATTAATTCTGCTAATAATTTATTACGGAATCAACGTGCTGAATCCAAAATTAAAACAAGAAGGAGCTTGATGGTTGCGAAACACAAGTGCTGAGTAGCTTATGCGAATTTATTGGCAAGTACTGTATTAGTGATTGAAATCTTTATATAAAGGTGAAATATGCTGATGAGCGAATTCTCTGACGGATGCAGCGGCTTTTTTAAAGCTTTCTTCTTCTCGGCAATGCGGTCGGAAGTAGTGGTTCCTAGAATCTTATCAATGCGGAGAATCCGTGCAGAATAAGCCTTTCTTCTGAAAGATAATTGAAGATTTCCAGCTTTAGCATATTCACTCTCACCTTAAATTAATAATTTTACAGCGCCTGCAAAGCCAAAAAAATTGAACCCATAATCAAATTTAAAATTAACAACACAGTTCCTTCACTGCTTTTAAATGCATCGAGAGGAATATACTCAAACTTTAGATCTAAAGAAGTGTTTTAGGACTGAAATCGAGGGACTAAGAGTTCATTTTGTCCGTTCTGCTTTCGAAGATACCTACAAAAAGATAATACCTTTATTACTGCTTCATGACTGGACCACATCTTTCTGGTCTTATTACAAGGTTTTTCTTCGTCATTTCTATTCTTCGGAACTTTATTTTCATACTTCTCAAACCGCTATGTTTTCTAGACATTTCCGCACCGTCTGAAAACAATTTTGCGCTGCTAGTCCTTTACTTGCAAGCTAGAAATAATTCCAATAAAGCTCGGAAATGAAGCACATAGGCAACGCCTACCACTTTGCTCAGTAGAATTAATATTTGAAGATTTCAGGTAATACCAATATTCAGTAATCCAAATCGTTTTGGCTTCGATTTTGGTGTCAGAGGACAAATAGCATTTGATGTTATCATCCCATCGGTCCCTGGGACTGGTTTTTCTGATAGTCCTGCAAAACCAGGTAATAGTTACATTATTGCTATTAAAATTCAAAGGCTTAAAACAACAAAGCGGGAGAACTTATCATCGATCATCGAACCACATGAAAATGAGTCGTGTTACTTCAGATTTATGGTTTAATTTTTCCAATTCTTTTACATTTTAGAATAAAATTAAAATGACTGTATGGTTAGAGCAGTAGTTTTTCAGCATGCGCGGTGTATCATTTCAGTTCACAAAATTAACTTTGCTAGAAAATTCAAATAAAATTTGGAAAATTTCTCTGCCGACCATCACTTTAGCAGAAATATCTTCTAAGTCAGTGTGAAACTAGTTTAAGATGTCTTTATCATACAAAGTATAAAAGTTCGACAAAGAAAGATTATTTCATCGCAAAACAGTGCTTATTTTCATTGTTCTTACCCGTTTTTTCAGTCCTGCAAATCCATGGTCAAGATAACAATAAACAAAATTGAAAAAAATCTAAGTCAATCTACAAAAGTGCTCGTTTTGGCTCTGAATGACCTTCGAGTTTCAACCTGAATAGGACAATACACAAAATTTTTACAACACTAATTTAGCTGTTCAGGCTTTGGTTTGATTGAGGCGGCTCGAATACTCTGCAAATTAATGAAACGACTGAAAACAGAACACTTTTTTGTTCACGGGAATGGACCATTCGGGTCTACTCTAGGTGATTAGCATTCGTTCTTTCCATTTTAAACTCAAGCTTAACTATATCTGTAGTGGTTTGCAGCTACGACCGTAACACTGATATGCCCAGAAACAGTCAGAGGACTGCATGTCATAAATCCAACAATGGAAACTTTTGTTACTAGAGAACATCAGATTTTGCGTGCTGCTGCTTCAATGTATGAACAGTTCACTGCCGCTAATCATCCGTTAATCCAAGAAAAAAACAATGACCAAATATTCAAAAAATGGCCAATATCACTAGGTTAGCCGTTATAGTTTTTGATTGTTAGAATGCTAATTTTTTTCATTTCCAGTCTACAGTTCCTGTTTATATCGTAAGTTCTTCTAAACTCTATAGTTGGCAAATTTTCGTGTACGTCTAAGAGAATTTAGATAAGCAGGAATTTTTTCACTTACAGCGAATATTTGGTGCATTCGTGTCGGACTCAACATTTTCTCCCACTCGAATGCTGAAATTTCAATATTTAAGAGTAGAACTTTTACTGAAGTCAACCTTTACAAATTCTCTAGTTTTCAACCCTTTTTTTATAGAAATTGCCTATGCAAGTTCAGCAGCTGGAACGATGTCATTTTTGTTAGACCGTTGGGCACTTGGGACAGACCCAAACTATCAGAACAAATCCGTACAGTATTTACATCACTTTTACACTGTGGATGAATTACTAACTAACACTCTTTTATGTTGGTTAACTCGATCAACTCCACGAATTTTGGAACTATTTACGCAAACGGCATTGAATTCTTTAAGTGCAGAAATGTTTAGGTAAGATTCCAGCAGATAAAACTGTTCCGTATGAGCGCAAAATTTCACTGATATTTGTTGACATCGAAAAGTTGGCAAAAACAAATTTTAACCCTTTGACTTCATTGAAAAAATTTCAACATCTTTTAAAAATTTGCGTTAGAAAGCTAACATTATTTCAATATAACTTTCAGAGCTACCGTCAAAAGTCCAACTGCTATTCTAATAACCTTTGATAAGAGAGAAAAAAAAGCTCGCGATATTTTTGAATACCGTTATTTCAATATCAGCAGATTTACTGTTGTGGAATCTGGCGGTGATTATTACGCCTTACAAAAGCCGCAAAAATTTGCTGAAGATATTTATGGTTTTGTTGAAAGTATTGTTGGATAAAACGATTTGATCGTACTTAGAGACTGTAACAGTTCAAGTTATTCTTCTAATTCGGTTTAGCGTACCATGTATCGTATGTGCTTGTTCTGATACCTTCCATAACTCATTCCACTCTTTAGATACAATTCAGATTCACAAAATTCTAAGAGAAGGAAGGTAAACGAATAGAAGCAAAAAATAATAAGAGAAAAGTCTGTAGAATGATGTTATTGCCACTTCCCCTAAAACAAAATCAGTGAAGGGCGCTATTGCAGCTAAAAGTGCCCACTACCAAACACGTTTTTTTTCAATCGTAAACCATACTTCATTTTTTGTATACCAGGTTCTCAATCAAGCCTTATTCATCTGTGAAATTTCCTGGCTTAACCATTCAGTTCTTGCTAAATTTCTAACGGTTCAATGCCGAAATATCGCCTTAACCCTTTAGCCAGCTGACGACGCAGTTTTCGTGCCAGTGGATGATGCGATGGATAAAGCAGGCACTTTGCAAGAGCGACTCTAGAAATCTCGAAGGGGTTCAAATCTGTCCGCCGCACAATTCTTCCTCTCACAGTTTTCACTTTTCTTGGCCATTTTTTGGTCTGTCCAAAATGCTTATTGAACCACTGTGTTTCAGCTGAGTACGTAGAACTCAATAAATGGCATCAAGTGAATGTACGTTCTACAGGTGTCTAATCTGCTTTTACTATCTTGTAATCTCTCTAGCTCTTTTATAATTTAAAAAACTGAAACCTGAGGAAAGTAATATTGAGAAAAAATTTCTAACAAAAATGAAGGAAGACGACTACAGATTATGGAAAATGCATACACTTAAAACGAGGTGATAGAAAACAAAATGTAGTTAAAATAAAGATATAGGATAAAGTGTAGCTGCCAGGAGTCTACAGTTCAGGTTTTACTCTATCTCTGCCACACTGAGAAGCAACTAGAGACGTTTATAAAACAGTGAAGCAGATTATTCTAGAATATAAACTCACAATAATCACATCTGTCTAGTTTTACGTACACAACTGAAACAGTGCGGTTAACTAAGTGTCCTCAGGCAGATCTGAATCCTTCCCAGATTTCTAGAGTTGCGACTGCAAATATGTCTGTATTATCCATTACATAATCCACTGGCACGAAAACTGCATCGTCAAATGGCAAGCTGTTTAAGGCGACAGTTCATTATCAGACCGTTAAAAAGTTAGCAAGAACTAAATGGAAAATCTGGAACTTCCAAAGATGAATTAGGCGAAGTTGAAAATCCCGCATACAGAAAATAAGATTGTTGGTCATAAAAAAAACATGTTTGGGAGGTGACACTCTTAACCGCAGTAGATTTTAGTGTAGATATGACACACTTTGGTATCAAATTCAAGTAAGTGGTTGAGAAACATACGCTACCAAAGACCAACAAACATCGCAGCCTTATCAAACGATTTGAAAATGTAAAAGAAATGTTCCAAAGTAGCGCGTAAAAGGAACGTCACTAACGGTAAAGTGATACTATAATTAGTGCCTATTGTCCTGAGATCTAACAACAACTTTCTTCTTTTGCAGAATACAACCTAATTATTTTTTTTTTACCAAGTGACACCAGTAGTTTTTAACAGTTCGCCTACAAGTAGCAATTAAGACCTTAAATTAAGTGACTGTTCTCGAAGACCTGAAAAAAGTGATTTCTTCTTCTCCAGTTTACATGTCGACTAGGAGTCACACTTTTTTTTTGCACATTTTCGACTTATATAGCAGAGTTCATGATAGCGCGTGAACAACATCGAAACCAATAAACAGAAAAAAATTATGCACCCTAGGTGCTTCCAAAGTTTAAAAAAAAAACAGGACCGGTAGCACAATAAATCGTTAGACAATTCGCAGACGGCCGTCGGCTTATCATAACTCCTATTACACCTTAGTGGAACTTTGCCAATGAGCCGAGTTTTACATACAGCCATTTATACACTGATGAAACTGTATGCTGCGATTACCAAAATTATACAGCCCAAAAAATACATAGCTCAAAAAATATATGCTTTGTATATACAGCTGTTATTTTTGTGCATTTTAAAATCAGACGTCTTAAGCACAAAAAAATTTTTTGTGGAAATTTTCTCCAATGTTCTTTCATTCAGAAAATTCACTGAATTGCTCCCATTTGTATTTCGCAAAGGTTTTTATTTTTGAAAGTTATCGTTGGTATTGTTTTTATTATTATTATTTTTTTTTCTGAAGAGCTTTTGGCTTCCGGAATGCTGTAGGTTTTTCTGGAAACTCGATTATAGCGTCATTGGATGATTCGGTATT